GCCCTCAGGTGTCCCCAGCACAGCCTGAGCCTGGAATCAGGTGCTGAACAACAGACAGCACAGGCACACAACACTCTCTGCCGTCTCCAAAGCTGGAACACGGGGGGTTTTCCACGCAGGGTGACTGCAATAGCACAAAACCTGGATGGCAGGGTCTCCACACTTCATGGATGAGCCCAGGAAGTGCAAGGACCTCCCAGGAGCTCCTGTGGGCACCTTGGGAATCATCATCACCTGCCCCCTCATACAGCTTCTCACATAAAGCCCCCCCTGAATCCTCCCCACAGAAATCCAACGGCCTTTTCCTTCTCTCCACCCTTAAGGTCCCTTCCAAGCCAAACCAGTCCGTGGTTCTTTGATCCTATGACTGCCTTGGAAAATCTGGACACCCCAAAGGTGGGTGATGACCAGCCCTTTTTGGGAACATCTTTCAAGACGATGCTCTTGGCCTTCAAAGCCTTGGACTGCACCTCCATTCCAGCGGGGATGGTCCAAGCAACCTCTTGGGATGGAAAGGAGCAAAAGGAGCTTGGTCTGGACGGGCTCCTGCTTTGAACCAGTACCTGTGTCCCTGGATTTCACTTGGCATTAAGAACAGATGGAATTATTTGCCTTACAGAAATAATGGCCCTTTCCCTCTTTTTGTGTTATCCCCCCTGTTCACTTTGCCCACATCCCAGTGTCCCACAAAAGTTGGATTCGTGGAGCCAAACCCCACGTTGCAGATTTACTCCCCTGAAACTCAGTGTAACTTCCCTAAGTCACCTTTAACTCTCTTTTTTCAAATTCTCCCCTCCTTTTCCTTCTTCATCCAGATCCAAGGCTTTGACATGAAGTTAAAGCTCGGACTGACAAGATCCTTGAAGGTAAGATTGTGTCTGTGTGGGAACTTCCTTCCAATATCCACTTCCAAAGCTCAATCCTGCCTCCGAGGTGACTCCGAGTATCCACCATCTGTCCTCCTGATCAGCTCCAGGGTCTTGGATGAATCACTTACACCACAGACTGGAACCTGCAGCCTCTTTTAATTGAACTTTAGGCATCCTGGTCCTTAAACTTCCATGATTTAGCAGGAAATTGTTGCCAGAGCACAAGCCTTTTATTTCTTGGACAAACTTATTTGATTAACTGCTGTTGCCTTGACTGAAAGATTCTGATTTTGCTTAAATGGAGTTATTTTTAGGGCTGGCTTGAGAAGGGAATCATTCCAATGCTGTAACCATGAACAGTGCAGTGAGATGTACAGTTGATTTTAGCAGTGACAGTGATGCTCTCCCTCGCTTGTGTGAGGACAAACATATTGAATTACAGACAAAAAGCACTAATTGGGAAAGAGCTAAAGATAAATGCAGCAAAACCAGCCCTGTAGCACAAGGAGTTGCTCAACCTACAGCACAATATTTAATTTCCCTTTTCACTGTTGGCTGCACTACGAACCACCTCGGGCTGACACTGCTTTAGCCACATAATGGGCTCCCAAAAATTTGTGTTTCAAAGGGAATCATTGCTGTGATTTGTCTTGCAGCACAGACACAAGGATCAAAAAAAAAGAAAAAACAAACAAAAACCAGCCTGGTTTTCCAGCTCCTGCTTGAAGGAGGTGCTGCTGGGGGATTAGGCTGGCTTTTGATCACACTGGTTCCTCACACAAACCAGGAAAAAGAGGATATTCCCTTGCTCCTGCCTCCAGGAGAGTTGTTTGAGGTAACTCAGAAGAGTTATCCCAAGTTTTCATAGAAACCACTACACCTTGGAGCAAACCAGGAGTCAGCCTTCCCGGCCCAGGACCCCTTAGGAATGTCCACCTGGATTTCTGAAGCGGGAAACGCACTTTTTACGGGGTTATGGTTTTCTTATGGCACTCAAAGGAAAATATTGGACATAAAGGGTGACACTGTGTAGTGGGGATGTTCCTGCTGCTCTTGTTCTCAGCAGGATAAATGAGAATAAATAACTGAATCTCCCTGTGTCACCCCCAGAAGCTCATTTTCTGTTGTGCCTTGTCCATGTACGTTACGGGAGACAACGATCATTACGTTGTTGTGACTCATGACATGATTAAAAAGGGTAATTTTTAGACCAATATCAGCAGGAAATGATGCTGCCCAGCCCCCATGACTTTTCTGTGGACAGGCACCATTTAAACCTTCATTTCTGTGGCATTTATTCCTTCAAAAGAGCATTGTCGTTCATGTCTTAATATAGGAAAGAAAAAACCTCCAATCCCCCCAAAAAACCAAATAAAGGCAAATATTGACATGCTCCCTGTTTTCAGGATTTATCCTATTTTTCCTGAAAAACATTTAGAAGGAAAACACCTTTATAAATGAGCATTTAATGCACCAAATGGGAATTAGGCTGAGCTTGAGACAAGTTCCCAGAGCCCACGTGGAGAACCCAGTGGGAAGAACCATTTTGTCAGGACCTTCCCCTGCTCCAACTGGGAGAAACCCTTCTCCTAAACTCCAGCTGTGAGATTTAAAATAGAAATACCTGTTTGCTTTCACAAAACCTCCCTAAGGAGCACCCAGAGGGGACTCCCCACACAGGCAGCTCAGACACCCGCGAGGGAACATCCCTCGGTTCCCTCCTCGCTGTTTGCTCTGAACTGAGAGCTGGGCAGGCTTTGCTGAACCTGAATCCAAATTAATCTCGACAATCTTCTAGAAAATCTCTATTAAAGCTAAAAGCTTAAAGGCTTAATGTGTGTTTAAAGGGTTTGTGCTCAGCCCAGAGCGGAGCCCACGCTCGGCTTGGCTTTCCTCCCCCAGCCCACCGGGAAGGCCAAGGCTTGGCAATGGCTGAGGGGAGGGGTTTTTTAAGCCCTTTTGGTGCAGCAACAGGTTTTGTTTTCTCCCCTGAGCCTTCTTGTTGCTAACCATCAGCTGAGACACCTGGAAAAGGCTCTGACAGTTCCTTTGATGTCACCCCTGAGCTGCAGAACATCCCCGTGGAGCTCCCAGGCCCCTCCAGGGCAGAGATATTTTTATTATTTTATATAAACAACTACTACTTAATAGATATAGTACATAAAATACGTGTTTACATAACATAATAATTATTATTTATATTATTGATACTCTTTGTATAATTTATATTATTATTTTATTTTTCCCTATGTCCCGATTTCCTCCAAGAGAAAAATTAATTTAAGCTATTTCTTGAGTATATTTTACTGGATGTCCAAGTGAATGTACTGTGCATGTTTTTTTCTGATTTTAGAAGTCTTATGTTTGAAAAGCAGGTCAGAAACAAAAGCAGACCAAGCACGTGACATGGGAGGGTCAAAATTAGTCTGGCCACTTTGGGGGCATCTGTTCCCCCTGCTTTGATGTGGCTGGAGGGGATTATTTTTCCATCCCAAACCCCCTTTTTAAGAGGGTGCATCATACTTGGGTCAAAGATTTGCAAACTGGAAGATCTTCCAGGTCTTCCCACGGCACTTTTCCCTGAAAACCTCTCTCTGGAAAACAGGAGCTACTCCCGGAAAAGCAGCAATAATCACCAAAACGTGGAAAATGAGCTGCCTCCAAACTGAGCTTCTCCTGGGAGAGGTGAGAGGGAGCCCAGAGGGGAGGGATTTTGATCCCATCCCCACCTGCCATCCCTATAAATCATCCCTGGGTGTAATTCCAGCCCTCCCAGCACTGGGTGAGGGGGCTGGGGGGGGAAATGCTGCAGGGGGGATGTCCTGATGTGGGACCAGCCTGGGGCAGGAACATCTCAGCAGTGCTGGGATGGCTGAAAGCATCACAGGGACCTGGGCCTTTCCCTTCTCCACAATTTGGTGACACCATCCCTCGGTTTGGGATCATTTTGCTGCTGAAATGTGGCCTGTCCCTTCTCTGCTGTGGCACCTGATTTCATGGAATCACACACAGGTTGGGGTTGGAAGGGACCTTAAAGCTCATCCCATCCCACCCCCCTGCCATGGCCAGGGACACCTTCCACTGTCCCAGGTTGCTCCAAGCCCCGTCCAACCTGGCCTTGGGCACTTCCAGGGATCCAGGGGCAGCCACAGCTTCTCTGGGCAACCTGTGCCAGGGCCTGCCCCCCTCACAACCAGGAATTCCTTCCCAATATCCCATGTATCCCTGCCCTCTGGCAGTGGGAAGCCATTCCCTGTGTCCTGTCCCTCCATCCCTTGTCCCCAGTCCCTCTCCAGCTCTCCTGGAGCCCCTTCAGTCCCTGGAAGGGGCTCTCAGGTCTCCCTGGAGCCTTCTCTTCTCCAGGTGAACACCCCCAGCTCTCTAAATAATAAGGACTGTTCATTACTGATCCTCTCCAAGGCTTAATTCCCTTAATTTTCAATCCTACCATCATCTCCCAGCCTGCTGAAGGACCAAATTTTGGCTATTTGGCTTTTCTTCTTGCAAACCCAGTGGCTGATGACAAACCCCCAGGGAAGGGGATTCCTGGGACATTAGAGCTGGCTTTGGAGGGTTTGTTCCAGCAGCACAAACCAAAGGAACGTTTGAGAGTGTTAAGGAGTGAAAGACTTGGCTTCGTGTTTTCCTTTTTACTCATCCAACCTGCATTTTCCAACAACCTCAAGCTTTTTTTGTTCCCCTGGAAACTCAAATTTGACTTCTCGAAGAACACACTTGAAATGGGTTTCAAATCCCACCACAGTTTAAAAACCAGATTTTTCCCAGGGAAAAGGGGGGGGTGGGTTATAAAAATGGGTGTTCTCTTACACAGGGAATGCTTGGAATGACTCATGTTAGAGCTTTTCTCTCACACCTTGGCCGTGGGACTCTTTGCCAACGAATAACTCACAAGAGGAACGAAACTAAACCACAGCAAGGCTCTCCCTGCTTTAAGCAAATTAAAATAATAATAATAATAATAATAATAATAATAATAATAATAATAATAATAATAATATTGAAGACATGAGTAGGAAACAAATCAAACACTGCACTCAGGAAAAAACAAAAAGGTAAAAGAAGAGGAGGGGAGTTGCACTGAATTTGGGGATAAATAAAGGAGTGTCATACCTTTTTAAAAATTCCATATACTCAGTATGCTTGATGAGGCCAGTCCTCATCATTATTGTTTGAAAACATTGCCGATCAATAGCCCAAAGTTTCACATTTACGAGAGCTGGAAGACAAAACAAACAAGGGGAAACGGTGATTAGCAAAATCAATTTAAGGATTCATTCTACTCCCAAAGGAGATCAGAAATTCTTCCTTGACTTCAAGGAAACTTCCAGAACAGGGACATTTCCAGAACCGAGCCCTGTTATACCTTAATAATTAAACACCTCCCAGTCCAGGAGGTTTTGAGACATTTGTTCTCCCAACTTCAGTTTGTCTCTGCTAAATTCCAAGACTTCCACGGAAATGGTCCAGATTTTCATCTGAGATATTTGCATTAACCACAAATGCCTGAATATATACAGTTTATAACAGTTTCTCCTTAGAGGAACAGTTTAATTAAACAGAACTACTCTCAGGACCTCTACACTTGCATTAATTCAATTTTTCTTTTTTTTTTTTTTTCAGAGAGTAATTGCAATCAGTTCCATCCCCTTCTCCCCATTTCATTACAGGAAAGAACAACGAGCAAACAGACTTCCAGCAAAATATTTACGAATATTCTCACTGATAAAATCCGAGCAATTGCATTTGCTTTGACTTGCTGGTCCTTAGGTTCCCAACCCTCCCACATCATGAGGTTTTTTTCCCTAACTGCATTTGCAGGGTGGAAAACCTTCAAAGTGCAAATTCAACTATTCCCTCTAGAATTGCACAGCAGAACTAAGGGACAGCATCACGTCCTTTAAAGCCTCTTCTTGTTTTCGAGGCAGAAAGTTCTTTTTGAGAAGCATTTCTGGTTTTAAAATCGAACTGATAGGGAAATAATGACCTTTGGTATTTGCAGATTTATGTCAAAATTTAGTTTTTCGCTCTCTTCTGAGTGGAAAGGACAACTAATATGAACAGGATCTGTATTTTTATGGGGGGTTAACTGTATTCTATAAAATAAGGGGGGTTGATGTTTAGATGAGCTCAACAGACAGGGCTTGGAGCAACCTGGGCTAGTGGAAGGTGTGGATCAAGGGGTTGGATCAAGATGAGCTTTTAAGTCCCTTCCCACTCAAACTGTTCTATGAGTCTGTGAAAAAACACACATATAGACACTGAGAATACGGAACATCATTTATAATTTTACAGACATCATGCACGTAATTCCACGCTCCTTCATTCCATATTTTACCTTTCAATAAATCCATATGTACCCCCCCTGACTGCACACACCAGCCCCATCACAAGGCCCAGGCAACTCAGGAAAAGTGAAGTGCAGACAACACAGTTCTCTATTCATTCCAATCACTCCTCATCCTTCACACTCACATTTGCCCTGCCTTAATGACAAACAGCTGCTTTAATAATGGCTAATCAGGGCAGAGGTTTAAATGTCAGGAAGATCCTTTTAATCAAGGGTGAGCATCATCTCCTGTTGTGCTTAAAACCCTCTGTCGACGTGTTAGAGGGTTCCTGGAGGAACAGAAGGAATTTCCTAAGATTTGATGCTATTAAAGACTTCAAAGTCATATATTTCAGAGTGCCCTGAGATGAAGAATGTGTCTGTGGGATGTGTAACACAAAGTCATCTCCACCGGGGAGAACCGAGTTAGAGCAGATGCAGACAGAGGTGACACAGAGATTTTCTGGTCCAACCTCAGATTTTCTGTGAAGCTTGATTTGCTGAGAATATCCTATTCCCTGACTGCAGGAGCTACAACCACAAAGGAACAGGAGAAATAAAATCCCGGGAAGAGGTGTGTCCAAGCCTCTCTGTGAGGGGAGCTTCCTTCCTCAACAGCAGCAAATGTCACCCTGCAATCCAAGCAGCTCCGCTGGGGGCACACCACAATTAAAGTTTAGTGCCTCTTTTACATTTTTTCATGCTAAAATGCCACAGCTGGGGTTTGTTTTTATTGGACAGGGATGCCTAGGCCTGGGAGCTCTCTCTCTGTATCCAATTTTAGGAGCTCTCCAGCTGAGGGTACTGGGTGATGCTCTGCAAGTCTGCAGGACACTTGAATTCCACGTTCAGGAAACAGATTTACCTGACTCTGAACCTCCAAGTGAAAGGGATGTGGTTCGAGGGCTGAAAACAAAGCAAAATGCTGCTGGAAAAACAGGGAAGGGCAGCGAGACCCCAAGCAAAGGAATCGGGGTTTCACGGCCCAAAACTGGCTGGGGGTGGAGATATTACCATGAAAGTTTAGATCTGAAGTGTTTGTCGTGGTTAAGACTTAATTTCTGCTGCCAAGCTGACGGAAATTATTTCAATCAACCATTCCAGTAAATTCCTGGCACCCCTCTCCACATCAAAATCCATGATTAAAGCAAAGAAATGAATTTCAAAATGCTTTCACAAACCCAAGTTCTTCCAAAGAGAAGTTTTCTTCCTGTTCATTTCTCTGGGGCAGCCTGTGAAAATCCATCCCCTCTAAATAAAGAGGGATTGTTCATTACTGAACCTGTCTGGGGTTTAATCCTCTGAATTTTCAACCCTGCCATCATGTCCCATCCTGCTGAAGGACAAAGTTTTGGCTGTTTTGCTTCTTTTCTTCTTTTGGACCCAGTGGCTGAAGGTCATCAGCTCTGGGGTCAGGTCTGAGCTGCTCCTACATCACATGCAAAGGCACTGAAATAAGGGGGGGACTGTAAAGGTTGAAATGAAAATATTTACAGAAGAGCCATGTAAGTATTATTTATGTTATTTGTGTGTATATATATATATATATACACATATATCTATACAGAGAGAGGTGGTGAAGTCCTTAACATTAAAAGATGCCTTAAATCCTTGAAATCAGAGCAGCCAGAGAGCAGTGCCCAGATTATTTCCAGATTCAATGCAGGGTTCATATGGCCCTGCAAACTTTTCACATCTTCCCAAGTTTTTACTTAGTGCTCAGTGAAGCCTTTCCAAGCTTTTTCAAGGATCACTGGGTGAATCATCCTCAGCTCAAGCATTATCCAACCTGAAACTTATTATTCCCTTGCCCCCCCCAAGCCGGAATTCGTCACCTCCCTTTTGCTTTTAGGCCACTTTATTCAAATAACTCTTTGTTTATCCACCTTCAGGCAAAGAACCAGCAGCATCTTCATGTCCTCAGGGCCTTTTGGGCAGACAAGACATAAAATCTCCACTCAAATTTAAACATCCTCCCACCTGGGGTGTGATTTTGCAGGATTATTGTGCCCACTGCCACTGGGGGAAGCAGAGCCATTGCCAGTTGCTTGTGTTTCGTCCTGTTTATCCACCAAAATGAGGATGAAAAGCACATTTAACTAAGCAGAAGGAGCACATGGAATTGTTTCAGCCCCCAAACACACCGTGAATCATGGAGGAGGCTCCAGGAGTTCTGGGATGAGGCATGGAATGATGCCCTGGAGGTGGAATGGCTGGAGCAAGAACAAATTGCTTTATTCTCGGGTGTTTCTGTCTCTAGTTTTTAATCAGAGCAGCACTGGGACAATGACACTCCATCCTGATGCTCCCCAGTTTCCAGCAGGTCCTTTCCCATCGTTCCCCAGGGGGAGTTTTGTCACCTCCCAGGGGGCAAAGAAGGAGCAACTTCACTTTGACCAAGGACAGATGCAGAGACAGATAAAATTCCCACTGCCAGAGGGCAGGGTTAGGTGGGATATTGGGAAGGAATTCCTCCCTGGGAGGGTGGGGAGGCCCTGGCACAGGTTGCCCAGAGAAGCTGTGGCTGCCCCTGGATCCCTGCAAGTGTCCAAGGCCAGGCTGGAGCAACCTGGGTTAGTGGAAGGTGTCCCTGCCCATGGCAGGGGGTGGGACTGGATGATCTTGAAGATCCTTCCCAACCCAAATTCCATGATAATCCCAACTTTGTACGAGAGATGTAAAATTTAACAGCATCAAAAAGATCTGCCCACATCCATCAGCCCGTGCTAAGGACAACAATCTGAATAAATAAGCAGACATCACGGAGCATCCCAGGACTTTTCTTGCCACAGGAACCAAGTAACCCAAAATCTGCCCCAAAATCTGCCCCAAAATCCACCTTCACCCAAGCTTTCAAAGAAAACTCCACGTCTCCTGATGGATTATTCAGGAATAACCCCACCCTGGGCGTTTTTATTCATTGAAATGTTTCCCTAAGGGTGAATATTGTCATTTGGTTTGACCTAATACATTGTTTGATCTAATGCATTATCATTTGGTTGGATCTAAAATAACTCCCAGTCTTTGTTGGCTCCCAAAAATGTCTCCATCCTCTTCTGAAGGCTTGTAACTCCTCAGCCTTAATGAGAAGGGGTGACAAGGATTAATTGAGCATTAGGGAAGTGTTCAGTCGGGTCAGGTATTTTCCTCGGAATTTCAAAACACCTGTACTACAACCCCCACTAATTAATGTCCTAATCTGCTCTTTTCAAGCTCACTGGTATTTTACATAACCTTCACCATGTCACCTCTTACTCAGCCTGGCTGTATAAATGGAGTCCTGCTCTTCCTCCCTCCCTGCAACACAGAGGTTTCTCTGGGTTTTTAATTAATCCTTGTACGAGCACGAGCGCGCAAACTGCCTCAGAAATCAAAATTATTCCAGTCCTGAACGTTGAAAGCTGAAATAGTTCCTTATAGTTAAGAGAGAAGAAGTTGAAAGCCCCAAAAACTCCTTCCAGGTCCTGTTTTGAGCCAGATGGAGAGTGATGTGAGATTAATGGAAAGCCAACAAGGGTTTAATGCAGGTCAGAAGCCTCAAATTTAGTTGCTCAAACAACTGATTTAATGCACTGAACACAAGAGAGGGGTTGAGGTAAAATGTCTCCAACTATTTGGGGAAGGAAAAGGAGAAAACAACCCAAATCTCTCAGCCTGGGTCACATCAGCTCCCAAGGCAAGAGCACAGAGGCTTCACCAAGAAAGAGGAGTGAGGAAAGTAAAATATTCCCTTTAAAAGAGACACATCAGTTCTGGCTCGTTGCCCAAAGGAGCCCCAAACCCTGAGGAAAATTAATATCCCCAATTAAAGGAGGGATTTTGACACTTAATAAAGGGGTGAGGCAGCTCAGAGAGAGTCCCCAGCCTGGAATTCCAGCTCCTGGAATACA